AGGGACAAAACCCAGGTCAGATTCATGGAAAGCAATTGTTTTACCCCTTATAACACCTCTCTAGCCTCAATTTTGCATTCTTTAAACTGAATTTTCTTTCCACTTTGGTTTTCTTCCACCATGGGCTTTGATTCTCTATAGCCTGAGTGTCAGATTGGGATCAGGGCTCCTGCCCTGAAAGCTCATGTCGGGGTCCCCAAAAGCGGGACCAAACCTCACCCAAAAACAGCAGTGTGAGGCCCTCCTGCTGGGCAGACAGAGGCCTGGCTCTCTGTGTGTGTCCTGGCGTGAGTCCCTGTCCCTGCGGCCCTGAGGTCTTCACAGATGGAAGGGTTCATGGAACGGGTGGCCAGCTGATCCTTCTGATCCTCTCTTTGGTGTCAGCTCGGGGAGGCAGAGAGAGATGAGACAGATCCTATGAAAAGACACCTCCAAGGCAAGCAAAGCAGGACCGAGCGGGAGGCCAAGAGCCCAGCAGAGGCTGGGCAGAGGCGGCTTAGGCAGCCAGTTGTCCCCTGATCCCCTGCCCGTGTAATCCAGTTGCAGGGAGAATGGAAAATCCCCTCCTCTCTCTCAGTCCCCTCCCCTACAAAGGCCTCCTAATAGGCCTGCCAGCTTTGGGGCGCTAATCTGCCCAGATATCACCCCAGAGCAGGTTGCCTGGGTCCCAGTAAGAGCCTGGAGCAGGGATCTGGGGAGTTGAGTTGGTGGTGAGGTGTTGGTGGGCAGCAGGGTGGGTGGGGGGCAGAGACTGTCTCCTGCTTTTTTAGCTTGTCCAAAGAAGAGCAGACTCAAGTGGGACTGTGTGCTGAGGAGTCCTTCAGGGATGGGACACAGGACGGGGATGGGGGAGGAGGCAGTGGTTGGAGGAGGCCTGGGCAGAGGTACCCTGTCTGCCCTCTCTTTCTTTTTCGTTTGAAGCTGCTCCCATCCCAACCCCTCCCCGCTCCCCACCCCCTCAGTTCTCATCCATCCCCCAAGCTGCTGACAGCTGCCCTGCAGGTGAACTCCTGATCCTTCCGAGATCCTGGGTGCATGGGGGTGGGGGGGCTAGGCCACAGGGAAGCCCTCCTCTACCACTACCAGCCCCACCCCCACACTCATGTCCTAGAATTAGAGAGAAGCCAATGAAGGAGGTGAAAGAGGAGGAAGAATGAAGAAGAACGGGATGAAAGAAGGGGGTAGAAAATAAAGCAGAGGGGGCTGGAGCAATAGCACAGTGGATAGGGTGTTTGCCTCGCACACTGCCGACCTGGGTTCGACTCCCAGCATCCCTTGTGGTCCCCTGAGCACCGCCAGGAATAATTCCTGGGTGCATGAGCCAGGAGTAACCCCTGTGAATCTCTGGATGTGACCCAAAAAGGAAAAAAAAAAGAAAAAGAAAAGAAAGCAGAGAAGCAGTGTGGTTCAGGGACAGGGGTGGAGAGAGCCAGAGTGAGGCAGAGAGGACACGGAGGGGCTGGAGAGATAATACAGGGATAAGAGCTTGCATGCAGACAACCTGGGTTGTTTCTGTTTTGTTTTGGGAGGTTCACTCCAGGCAGTGCTCAGGTATTACTCTTGGCTGCGCATTCAAGGACCACTATGGAGGTGTTCGGAGGACCATATGTACCAGGGATAGAACCTGAGTTGGCTGTATGCAAGGCAAGCACCTTACCTGCTGCACTGTCTCTCCAACCCCCCAATCCGGGTTTGATCCCCGATATCACCTATCAAGCACTACCAGGAATGAGCACAGAGCCAGGAGGAAACCCTGAGTATCTACAGGTGTAGCCTAAAAAAACAAAACCGAAAAGGTGGAGAAGAACAAGGATCAGTGAAGGAAGGGAGGAGGGTGCAACGGAGCTCAGCGCCTTGAGGCCACTCATCCCAGGTGTTAAGACAGCAGGGAGGGGACCAGAGTCATAGCACAGACAAGCTTTGTAGCAAGACAAGCTTTGCTTTGTCTGTGGCCAATGTGGGTTTGATCCCTGGCATCCCATATGATTCCCTGAGCACCACCAGGAGTGATTCCTGAGTGCAGAGCCAGGAGTAATCCCTGAGCACTGTGGCCCTCTCCACCACCAAAGTAAAATAAAGTTTTACTTTTTTCTTTAAAAAAAAAAGACAGCAGGGAGGGTTTGGGGGAGCCCAGCTGTAGGCCTACCCAGCCAGGTGCCTGACCCACCAGCTCCCACCTCCGAGAAGGCTGATCTCCCCCACTTTGCAGGAAGGTTAATGTCTTGGAATTGCAGGCGACTATGTAGCTCTCTGGATTGTGGTGGTTAGGGTGGTGAGGTGTACAGGGGCCCTCCATTCCTTCCCTATCTAGATGCCCACAATAATCTTGCAGGCCTTGTGGCCACTTCTACCCATGTTTCGGTGGTAGTGATCAATGGGAACTGATCCTCACTGGGAACCGATCATATGTGTTGGGGTCTTTGAAGATCTGACTGGGCCTTAAAGAGTAAAAATTCCCAGGGTCATAGTGATAGTACAGCAGGAAGGGCACTTTCTTGGCAAGTGGTTGATCTGGGTTCCATCCTCATATGTGGTTCCCTGATCACTGCCAGGAATGATTCCTGAGTGCAAGAGCTAGGTGTGACTACAAAAACAAGACAACAAACAAAATAATAATAACAATGACTAAGAACTCGAAGGGCCCCACTGTTTAAGGGGTGGCCAGAGATGTGGAAGGGGAAGTTGCCCACAGTCAGTGAGTTGATTGCCAGCCTGACCACCCTCCCTCCCACGGCTTATGCTGAGACCAGGAGGCCACTGGACCTGTCTCTGCAAAGGGTGCGCCACATGATGATCCCTTTGGTTAGACCCCTTGCCACAATTTCTGTGTGCTAGATGAGGGAAAATTTTCATGAGGAGGAGGAAAGTGACCAACTTCTGAATACCTGCTCCATGCCAGGCATTTGGGCAACATGGTTTCCTGTCAGTTTGCACATCCTTTCTGGAAGGAGAATATTCTATGCCCTGCATTGCTAGAGAAATAAATCAAAGCCCAGAGACACCAAGCAAATTGCCCCTAATCAAACAGCCTCGGAATTGGACTGGGGCTTCCTCCAAGTTCATGCTGAATACTCCACTCTCTCCTGGACGATGGGAGCTAATGCCCTCTCTCCTCATCTCTACTCCCCTGTACTCAGGGACTAGATTTGAGGTTCCCCCACCACCCAATGCAATATGGAGTTAAGGTTGTCACAGAGAATACAGATGGTGTGTGTGTGTGTGGGTGGGGGGGTGTTCCTCTGACCATGTCACTTACTGGCACTCAAGCCCCCACACAGACAAGGGCAGGGTCCCTAGGAGACCGTGTGATTCATCTGGTGATATGGTTATTTTATGGGGTAGGCCAAAGAGGTGTCAGGAAGCAAGTTTGCTATAAATCTCCTTTCCCTGCTCCCTCTGCATGTCCCCTCCTGGAATTTATGATGGAAAACGTTCAGACCTAGGGACTTGGGGCTTGAGTTCAGGCTTCGGGTGGAAAGGCAAGAGACAATATATCTTCTTCCCCTGAGATCAGATTCCTGTGTGCAGGCCTATGTGAGTGCATGTGTGTGCCTAGGAGCACGTGTGGGGCACAATCCCACACATTCCTGCATTGCATAAAGCCTTCCTCCACACTCTACAGTTCTCAAATGACTCTGCAGAGCATTGCCTGAGAATGAGGTGTATTAATGGGCACTAGCCCATAGGCTGATGCCCATGCAGGGCTTCTCTCACTGGTGAGTTTGAGGGTTTGACTAAAGTCAGGATCTGGGGAGCAGAGTATATTGGGTAATAGGTATGCCACATAGGCAATGGCTCCAAGGATGGGAAGAGGGAGTTGTACCCCATAATGCTGGAATGGAGCTGACTCCTGGGTACTTTTGGTGGTTGTGGTGATGGAATTTGTGCCATATTCTGCAGTGCTCAGGACTTACTCCTGCTCCTTGCTCTGTGCTCAGGGGATCATATGGGGTGCTGAAGATCAAACCAGAGTCAGTCACATGGAAGGCAAGCTCCTTACTCACTATGCCATCTCTCTGACCCTCCTGAATGCATTTTGAGATTGATATGGAGGCACAGGTCAGAGGTCAGCTGAGAGATTAGACTCTATGGGGAAGACAATTCTCCCAAGGGTTCTTTTTTTTCTTTCTTTTTGGGTCACATCGGCAACGCAGAGGGGTTACTCCTGGCTCTGCACTCAGGAGTTATTCCTGGCGATGCTCAGGGGACCATATGGGATGCTGGGAATCGAATCCGGGTTGGCCACGTGCAAGGCAAACACCCTACCCACTGTGCTATCGCTCCATCCCCTCTCCTAGGGTTTTTAGAGTAACTATGCTGGCCTGCACCATAGGTTTGGTGCTCCAACCTGGCTCCCTGGAGAGGTGGGGGTAATCTGCAGCCATCGCAGTGCCCAGGGTGCTGACCTCAGCGTGGATGGGTCTCACTGCTGCATAGTGTGCCCAGGACACTTGCTCAGAGGGTTGGTGGACATGAGGGCACCACCTCCCACTTCATACCTAACCTCAATTCATGAGCTCACCAGTGAATGCTGGGCCTCACTCTTACTTCTGGGCTTGGCTTGGCCAGTATGGCCCAGGGAGGGAAGAGGAAGGAGAAGGAGAAAAGGAAGGGGAAGAAGAAGGGAGAGGCTAGAGAGGGTCTTTTCTGATTGGCGTCTCACCCAGGTCACTTCCTCTGCTGAACCTGGATCTCAGAGCAACCTGAACATGCCCACGTGCCCCCAGTACTTATGATGGCTGGGCCCCGGGACCTATTCCCAGCAGCACTGGGTGGGGGTCATGTAGTGCCAGGGAATGAAGTTGGGCCTCCAGCATGTCAAGTATGTGTGTTGGTTCTTTGGGCCACCTCCTAGCTCCAGCCTTTATTGTTTTATTATTATTTTAAACTTTTATTTGTAGCACCATGGTTTAAAATACTATTAATAATAGGGTTTCATGTGTGATAACACAGTCCCTCAACACGCGCTGTCCCAGTGTGTCTGCTCCTTTCACCATCGTCCCAGTATCCCCCAAATTTGGAATTTGCATGTCATTCTTGTGCAGGGGCTATGCTAATCCTCTCTGTGTCCGATTTTAGTTTATGTGCTTCGAGGTGAGTATCCGACCTCCACTATTGATCAGCCTGCAAATGCAGGAAAAAGTCTCCAGACTGCCGATGGCACCTTGTGGACATGTAGACATGTCTTAGGAACCCCCCTCTCCTGACTCTCCACAGTCCTGAGTCTAGGGTGCAGCCTCTTAGGGAGGGCTCAAGAATCCTGGAGGGCAGAGTGAATCAGGTCACCCCCCACCCCTGCACCTCTTCTCGGCTCCACTCCTGGCTGCACTGTGTCTGCGGTTAAATATATGGAATTATCTATTACAATACTTCAATATTTATTACATTGATTTCGCTTTAAATGCTTTGTAAATCATAGCAAAAAATAATGGCCTTCCAACAGAGAGTCATATACCGTAATCAACTGGAAGAAAGTCGGCATTGTAATTTAAAATAAAAAAATCCTTATGTGAGCCTCTCGTTTAAATTAAGAGACAGGACGTGATTCAAATAATAAGACCCAAGTGAGGCTGGTTTTTCTTGGCAAATTAGTAGAGGTTTTAACTGGAACTGAAAAGGTGTTAAGGTGGAACACTGACCTTATTAGACCTTAATTATTTTCTGTTGTTACATTCCTGGAGCCAAGGTTTTTTTCCAAAGTGCCCACATTAAGCCTCATCTCGAGAACTTTGGCTTTAGAGAGATATCACTTCTCAAGAGGCATTAGTGGGGGAAAAAATAAAGCAGCCACTTCACCCATGTCCCTTGTCTCCATTCTACAGTTTTCAGGGCACCCGAAACTCTGCTTTGGAGGCAATATGCTTGTCCTTGAAAACTAAACATTCACCCCATCATGTCCCTGGCTTCTTCTTGTTCAACACTCAGCCTTCCTATGGTGGCCTGGCCCTGGATCTATTTTTTGCTGATGAGCGGAGCCAGTGGAGAGGAGGGAACCTGTGTGGGAGTGTGCATGTATGTGTGTGTGTGTGTGTGTGTGTAGATGTGGATGTGTGTATATATGTCTGCAGTGTGGATGTGTATGTATACATGTGTTCAGTGTGTATGTGTACATATACTTGTGCAGTGAGGATGTATGTATAAAAATGTGGGCAGTGTGGATGTGAATGTACATGTGTACAGTGTGTATGTATGTTTACATGTGTGCAGTGTGGATGTGTGTGTATATACATGTGTGCAGTGTGGATGTATGTGTACACATGTGGACAGTGTTGATATGTGTATATATATATATGTGTGTGTGTGTGTGTGTGTGTGTGTGTGTGCAATGTGACTGTGTGCATGCCTGTGTGCCAGTTGCAGGGAAGGTGGATACAGCAAGCAGAAGTTTCTTTATCTTTCACTGCAAAAGTTCTGCTCTGCTTCCATGGCCTAGTTTGACTGACATCCTTCCCAACACGTGTCAGCCCAGCCTGAGATGCTCAGGCTGCCTGGAGACGAACACGAGCAAATGAGTAAAGTAGAAAAAGTATTTTAAGTAGCAATAATGGTTTTGAGAATGTAGTTCAATGGCAGAGTGCACGACTTGGGTGTGTGTGAGGCCCTGGGTTCAACCCTGGCAATGGAAAAGAAAGAAAAAAAAAGAAAGGCAGACAGATTGAGAGAGACAGAGAGAAACAATGAGAGAGAGATAGAGAGAGAAAGAAAAGGAAAGAAATCAGAATCTAGAGTGATAATATAGCAGGTAGGGCACTTTCCTTGCACACAGCTGACAGGGGTTTGAATCCCTATATCCCATATGCTCCCCTGATCCTTGGCAGGAGTGTACAGCCTGGAGTAAGCCCTGAGCACCACTGGGTGTGGCCCCTGAAACAAAATAAAATAAAATGAAACAAAAATGAATACTCTCTCGCTCCTTGGAAGAGCCTTAGGAAGACATTATGGATAAGAGAACATTTTCTGATCAACGTTCTATCTAAAGATATTGAATCTTACTGCAAAGGAAATGACCCTTCAGTTCAGTTTTGTTGTGGTGATGGTGGAGTCCACACTGGTGGTGCTGAGGACCAGGGCCCACATAGGGGGGATCAGGTCCACCCCTGCAGTTCTGGGGAGCATGTGATGTTGGGATAGACTCAGGTATCACTGGCACAAGACTTTCTTTGGGGGGAGGGAGTTGGCTCATACCTAGTGACACTCAGGGGTTACTCCTGGCTCTGCACTCAGGAATCACTCCTGGAAGTGCTCTGGAGACCATAGGGGATGCTGGGGATCGAACCAAGGTCAGCTTTGTGCAAGGCAAGTACCCTATCAGTGATACTATCAACCCCCCCCCACACACACACATACACATGACTTTTATACTTTGTTACTCAGCCACATTTCCATTCAGTCCATTTGTAGTCAACACTAGCCTATGCCTCACCCTGGGTTAGGCTTAGGGAGGTGCAGGGATGCCTTGAGGATAGTTTCTGGCTCCTAGCATAGCAGAGGAAAGGAGATATTTCTCAGGAGTCCTCTCTGAAGCACCCAGGGGCAGCCAGACCAGGCTGTCAGCTTGCTCACCCAGCTCCCAGTGTGACACTGGTTGGTGGCTAGTGTGTGGAGTCAGCATCCTCCTCTTAGGTCAGCCCAGGAGAAGCTGCTCTCTCTGCCCACGCTCCCTTCCCACCCTCCACCCCCAGATCCCCCAGCTGACTGAAAAGGTGCAGGAGGGAATCTGAGAGATTCTGTGCTGTTTGTTTTGGGTTCAATGGAATCTCATTTACACGTGTTAATTGCAACTAATTGGCACTAATTGGATGAACAGGAAACCCTCTGGGAGCACTCATACCTTTAATTTGTAGTAAATATCATTAATTAACATATGCTAATTAGAGCCAATTAACATTGATTAAGGGTTTCCAGCTACTTGGAAAGTACAACTCTGTGTCCTCTCCGGTTAACCTAAGTCAGCACAAAACAGGACCCAGGAAGCTGGCCAGAGGAGGGTCCTTTGATGGCCTCCCAGGGCAGGGCACTTTGACTGGGGCTGATCTCAATGGAGATTACTGGGAGGATGGCACTCTGCCCTCTCCTACCCGGGCTGGGCTGGAGGAGTCTGCAGGGCCAGGCTAGCACTGGCCAGAGAGTAGGAGGGAATAGGCTGTGGGAGACTCTGGGAAGGTGTTGGCTCCCACGGGCTCAAGAGCACCAGGCTGGGTGGCATGAGAAGGTCATAAACCTCAGTTGCATTTTACAGGTCAGTCTGGGAGGGAAGGAGGGGCCACTCTTTGCATACCAGCTCTGCCTCTGGGTGGGTGGTGAGAAGCATGTCCACCCAAGACAGACAGAACACATGCAGACATCTCTGTCTGGTAAAGGTGCATACCAACCTCCTTTGTATAACTTGAACAGCTGAATAAGGATCTCTCTTTCCTTAGACAGGTGCCTGGGTGCCAATGTCTTTGTAGGATGTGACCTTTGTGCAGCTTGGGAAGACTGAGATGTTATTCAAATTGTCCAGGGTGTTGGGGTTAGATTTTATTTTTTTTTAATTGAATCACCATGAGGTACACAGTTATAAAGTTGTTCATGATTGAGTCTCAGGCATAGGATGTTCCAATGGTGTTAGTTTTTTTTAAAAAAGGAAGATTTGCCTGAGAACCAAAAGGCTTTAAAGTCTCTGTCCAGTTCTGTACTACTATGAGATTCTGGGGATTCGTTTTTAAAAATATATACATAGTTGTGTTTTGGCCCAATTACCGAAGAAATAAATGCTTTTCTCAAACCTCTCGCTTCAGGATTGCTTCTGGCTGCTGCAGGCTTCTGAGGTTCAGTCTGGCCTTGTCATTGTTCCATGTCCAAAGGTTACCTTCTCCAATAGGTTCAAGATTTCAGAAGGGAAAGTTTAAGTCTGCTTTGCTTATTGTGACACTCCATGGACACTAAAACTATTTGTTAAATGAAAGAATGAACACATAAAATAAAAGCTACCAGGGCCAGAATGATAGTGCAGTGGGTAGGGTGCTTGCCTTGCATGTGGCTGAGTCAGGTTCAATCCATATAATCCATATAATTTGATCCATATAACGCCGCCCCATATAATCCCCGATAGAAGTGATTCCTGAGTGCACAGCCTGAGCAGTGCCGGGTGTGGCCTAATCCCCCCAATACCACCAAAAAACAAACTAACAAAGGCCATTTTGAAGTCTTTGAGAGACATCAACAGGCTGGAATACATGCTTGGTATGCAGGAAGCTGGGATTCAGCATTCCTGACACCACAAAGGTCCCTTATGTACTGCGCAGAATGATGCCCCCTCAAGCACAGATGCAGGAATGGCCCCCTAACACTGCTGAGTCTGGTCCAAAATTTTTTTTTAAAAAAGTCTAAATAGCCTGAAAGATAGTACAGTGGTAGGGCCCTTGCCTTGCATGCAGTTGACCCGGTACTACATATAGTCCCTCGAGCACTTCCAGGAGTAAGCCCTGGGCATCTCTGGGTATTCTCCCAAGTGCTGACTCCATATGCATGAGGCTGCTTGTTCGATCCTTGGCACAGCCCCATATCAGCGAGGCATAGCCACCAAAAGTATGTGACCCCCTAGTCATTGAACAAGGATGACAAAGGGAAGAGGTGGGGGGGGAAACTACTAGTAATTTTTATCACTGAAAACATTTGTTGTATGTGTACATGTATATAACATTACATATGCACATATATAATATAAAGAATACGTATATAACACATATCTGTACCAAATGATTAACGCAATATTTAAATAATTTTACAAGTATAAATACTGCAACTTTACAAACCAAAAGAATCCATCAAAAAGAAAGAAAAAGGCCTAGGCTGGAGCAGTAGAACACCGGTTGGGATGCTTGCCTTGTACACAAACAATCTAGGTTAGATACCCAGTACCCTATACGGTCCCCTGAGGCCTGCCAGGAGTGACACCTGGTTGCAGAACCAGGAATTAGCCTTGAGCACCTCCAGATGTGCCTCCCCACAAAAAAAAAAAAAAGAAAGAAAGAAAGAAAGAAAGAAAGAAAGAAAGAAAGAAAAAGGACTGGAGAGATAGTATAGGGTTAAGGCAATTGCATTGCATGCAACTGGCCTG